CACCAGTTAATAAACATACTCCACAAAAAATTGAGCAGGACCATAAATACACATTTCATTGTAAAACTCATTTTAGACCACTTTGAAATTTTCAATTGAAAAACTTGTCATATTCATTTTTTCACAAATGGAAAAATGATTTCAATACACATGGCACTGTGTGTGTGTGTGTGTGTGTGTGTGTGTGTGTGTGTGTGTGTGTGTGTGTGTGTGTGTGTGAGAGAGAGAGAGAGAGAGCGAGAGAGAGAAAGAGAGAGAGAGAGAGAGAAAGATACAGAGAGATAGAGAGAGTGAGAGAGAGAGAGAGAGAGGTTTATCAGTGTATGTGTGTGTGTGTATGTGTGTGTGTGTAGTTTATCTGTGAATGTGTGTGTGTGTGAGAGAGAGAGAGAAAGAAAGAGAGAGAGAGAAAGAACACAGGAACACAGGTACCAGTTCACTCTGGGCAGCACCGCCCTGGAGCACACGATGCAGTACACTTACCTCGGCCTCATCGTTACTGCATCTGGGAGTTTCAGTCCGGCAGTGAATGCACTAAAGGAAAAAGCTCGCAGAGCGCTGTACGCAATCAGGAGGAGATTCTACAATATTGACATTCCCATCTCAATCTGGTGTAAAGTGTTTGATAGTGTAATCCAGCCCATTGCGCTGTATGGGAGTGAGGTGTGGGGTCCACTCAGTGAGCACGGCTACACTAGATGGGACAAGCATCCAACAGAAGCCCTGCATGCAGAATTCTGCAGAACGATCCTGACAGTCCAAAGAAAAACACCACCCAATGCATGCAGGGCAGAATTAGGCCGATTTCCTCTGTTAATAAACATTCAAAAAAGATCTCCTGAAGACGAGTCCCAGAGAAACGCTGCAGTTTAAGGCGCTACAGACCCAAGAACTGAACCCTGAGAAGAGCTCCCTCAGTAAGCAGGTTCTGAGGCTTATTAACCCACTAACAGCTCCTAACACACAGCAGCCTCGCTCCAGCACTGCTTTACAGCCCAAACTAAACATCAATCACGCCATCAAAAACAGTAAGAATGATTATCTGGAACACCGGGGAAAAGAAATTAACACTCAGAGTAAATTAAAATGCTATCAGGCCCTAAAAACAGAATATGAATTGGATGAGTATCTCCTGACTGTCAGAGATACAAAGCAGAGACAGATCCAGACCAAGTACAGACTCAGTGACCACAGCCTAGCCATAGAACGGGGCAGGTATAAAAAGTCCTGGCTGCCCAGAGAGGAGAGGCGGTGTGGTCACTGTCTAACAGGTGAGGTTGAGACAGAGATGCACTTTCTTCTTCACTGTGAAAAACACAAACAAACAAGGGAAATTTACACAAACAAATTCAACAAATTAATCCCAAATTTTGAAAAATGTACAGAATTGGAGAAATTATGAATATTCCTTGGAGAGGGGCTCACAGCCCCCCTGGCTGCTAAATACGTAACAACATGCCACCGCCTGAGACACAGTGAGTAACAGACCCCCCATACCCCCACCCTCCTGACACCCATCCCACATACCCCAACTCCACTTACCCACACCCTCCATACCCCCACTCCACACCCCCACTCCACTGACCCCCAACATTGCAAATGTCATTAGTCTACTAATTTGTATGGTTATAATTATAAACAGTGACAATAATAATACTCTAATATTGTGATTATAATAATTAATATGGTTATTATTTATGTTGGTTCTTTTATCTTATTCTGTTTTCTTTACTGTTTTTGTTGTTCACTTCTACTGTTGTGATGCTTTAGCAATACTGTACCTCACAGTCATGCTAATAAAGTTATTCTGAACTGAGAAAGATAGAGAAAGAGAGATAGAGAGAGAGAGAGAGAGAGAGAGAGAGAGGTTTATCAGTATGTGTGTGTGTGTGTGTGTGTGAGAGAGAGAGAGAAAGAAAGAGAGACAGAGAAAGAACACAGGAACACAGGTACCAGTTCACTCTGGGCAGCACCGCCCTGGAGCACACGATGCAGTACACGTACCTCAGCCTCATCGTTACTGCATCTGGGAGTTTCAGTCCGGCAGTGAATGCACTAAAGGAAAAAGCTCGCAGAGCGCTGTACGCAATCAGGAGGAGATTCTACAATATTGACATTCCCATCTCAATCTGGTGTAAAGTGTTTGATAGTGTAATCCAGCCCATTGCGCTGTATGGGAGTGAGGTGTGGGGTCCACTCAGTGAGCACGGCTACACTAGATGGGACAAGCATCCAACAGAAGCCCTGCATGCAGAATTCTGCAGAACGATCCTGACAGTCCAAAGAAAAACACCACCCAATGCATGCAGGGCAGAATTAGGCCGATTTCCTCTGTTAATAAACATTCAAAAAAGATCTCCTGAAGACGAGTCCCAGAGAAACGCTGCAGTTTAAGGCGCTACAGACCCAAGACCTGAACCCTGAGTAGAGCTCCCTCAGTAAGCAGGTTCTGAGGCTTATTAACCCACTAACAGCTCCTAACACACAGCAGCCTCGCTCCAGCACTGCTTTACAGCCCAAACTAAACATCAATCACGCCATCAAAAACAGTAAGAATGATTATCTGGAACACTGGGGAAAAGAAATTAACACTCAGAGTAAATTAAAATGCTATCAGGCCCTAAAAACATAATATGAATTGGATGAGTATCTCCTGACTGTCAGAGATACAAAGCAGAGACAGATCCAGACCAAGTACAGACTCAGTGACCACAGCCTAGCCATAGAACGGGGCAGATATAAAAAGTCCTGGCTGCCCAGAGAGGAGAGGTGGTGTGGTCACTGTCTAACAGGTGAGGTTGAGACAGAGATGCACTTTCTTCTTCACTGTGAAAAACACAAACAAACAAGGGAAATTTACACAAACAAATTAATCCCAAATTTTGAAAAATGTACAGAATTGGAGAAATTATGAATATTCCTTGGAGAGGGGCTCACAGCCCCCCTGGCTGCTAAATACGTAACAACATGCCACCACCTGAGAGACAGTGGGTAACAGACCCCCATACCCCCACCCTCCTGACACCCATCCCACATACCCCAACTCCACTTACCCACACCCTCCATACCCCCACTCCACTTACCCCCACCCTCCACTGACCCCCACTCCACTGACCCCCACTCCACTGAGCCCCAACATTGCAAATGTCATTAGTCTACTAATTTGTATGGTTATAATTATAAACAGTGACAATAATAATACTCTAATATTGTGATTATAATAATTAATATGGTTATTATTTATGTTGGTTCTTTTATCTTATTCTGTTTTCTTTACTGTTTTTGTTGTTCACTTCTACTGTTGTGATGCTTTAGCAATACTGTACCTCACAGTCATGCTAATAAAGTTATTCTGAACTGAGAAAGATAGAGAAAGAGAGATAGAGAGAGACAGAGAGAGAGGTTTATCAGTGTGTGTGTGTGTGTGTGTGAGAGAGAGAGAGAGAGAGAGGGGGGGAGATAGAGAGAGATAACAGAACACTGTGTCTCCATATTTGATGTTTTTCAGTTGTTGACATTGTTTTAAAATGCCTGTTGCTCTTTAAATTGTGTGTAAATTTTACCAATGGACCAAAAGAAACGGCCGAGAATTACCTGGAAAAACTCCAATGACTAACATTAAAAATAGACTAAAGTAAAGTTATCATTTTGGAGATACAAGGTTTTGTTCTGACTGCACAACATGCATGTGTGAGCAGTTTGATTGTGTGTAAGTAGTTTATCAATGAGTGTGTAAGAGTAATTTAACAGTGTATGTGTGTGTGTGTGTGTGTGTGTGTGTGTGTGTGTGAGAGAGAGAGAGAGAGAGAGAGAGAGTTATCAGTTATAAGGTAATGTGAGTGTGATTGGCAGCTATGCGGAGCTCTCTCTCCTTTGAAGTTTTTGGTTTAGTGGAGGAACAGGAAGCTGTGTATCAGCAGGTGTGTGTAGAGGAGCAGGAGAGGGAGAGAGAGCTGGGGATGTGGTGAGGGGGGTACAGAAGAAAGTCAAGTCAGATGGTCTTCATTTGTCGTTCCTCAATTCTCAATAATTGGAATTACTTGTCGGTCTTGAGCTTTATGAATTCAAGACATACCAATGCCATATTATAATCAATACTACCTTTATTAGAGAAATAAATAAAGGGATTCCCTTAATTATCCAGTCCTTTTCTATTCAAAACCTTCTTATACTCAAATTTTTAATAATATATAAAAAAGCATGGATATAAATTAATTGTGTGTGGGGGTAGTTTATCAGTGTGTATTTGTGTGTAGTTTATCAATGTGTTTGCATGTGTGTTTATGTGTGTGAGTAAGTTATCAGTGTGTGTGTGTGTGTGTGTGTGTGTGTGTGGTGTGTGTGTGTATGAGATGGTTATCAGTGTGTGGATCAGCTCTCTGCAGGTGCAGCATTAATGCTGTATTACACTGGAGTGTTTCCTCTCTGAAGTCAGTCTCCTGTATGTCGGTGTGTTTCTCACCACACTGCTGCGAGCGTCTCTCCTCACACACACACCTCTAGAGACGGAGGTGGAGTTCTGTTCATCAGTGCTGACGCTCTTTTGACGAACATGGAGAAAGAAAAAAATGCCTCCTCTGATTTGTCACTGAAAATGTTTGATGATTTCCTCTCCTCTTTCTAATAAGGTCATAGTGAGTGTGATTGGCGGCTGTGGGGAGCTCTCTCTCTCCCTCTCTCTCTCCCTCTCACTCTCTCTCTCTCTCTCTCTCTCTCTCTCCCTCTCTCTCTCTCTCTCTCCCTCTCTCTCTCTCTCTCTCTCTCTCTCTCTCTCTCTCTCTCCCTCTCTCTCCCTCTCTCTCCCTCTCTCTCTCAGTTTCTTCAGTTTCTCTGGGGGAGTGGAGGTGAAGCTTGTTCTGCTGCTGGGTTGAATTGACTGTGTGCAGGTCAGAGGGAGATGGACAGCTGTGTGGCTCTCATTCTTCTGTCCATGATCTCACTCACCACAGCTGGTAAGCAATAATTGCAACAAATGAAAAAATAGATTTGATAAATAAAACTCTTAAATACACAGAATATTAATAACTACTACTCAGAATATTAATACAACAAAGAACTACATTTTTTTTAGATCAGAATAATATTATTGTAAATTATTAATCCATATCTCTTTGGCTGTAGCAGCACCAGAGTACTAAATGAGCAGCTGACCAAATGTGGCCGTAAACAACTTTTACTGACTCTGCTATTTACATTTATTTGTTTTCTTTCTGTCTGTGTTTCTTACATTCTCTCTCTGATAAACAGATATTATAAAGCTGGCGGATGGTGGGAGTCACTGTGCTGGAAGAGTGGATGTGTTTTTCTGGGGACAGTGGAGAACAGTGTGTGATGATTACTGGGATATAAGAGGTGCTGCAGTGGTGTGTAGAGAACTGGGCTGTGGAGAGGCTGTAGATGTACTAAATGATGCTCACTTTGGACCAGGACCAGGAGCAATGTGGGAATATCCCCGGGTGTGTAACGGATCAGAATCTACAGTGAACAAATGTGGAGCAAGAGATTTTAAAGCGAGAGAGCGTATCTGTGATAATACTCATGGTGCTGGAATGATCTGTTCAGGTAAACTGCAATAATTCTCATTTTGAAATTTAATGAACTTCAATTTTTTGATTATCTATGAAGCATCTGATGTTATTTAAATCTTGGCAACACTTTGCAATGTGAGTGCTCAGTAATGTAGTAACTATACACAAACAAATCAAGAATGAATATAATAATTTTCTGAAATTAATAATGTTATGCTTTATAACTAATTTAAAAAATAGAAGTAATTACTTGTTTTCCCATTAGTAACAATGGATAAAGGAAGTTTCCAGAATAAACGGTTTATGTGCAGAGCTGAGAGCTCCAGAGTTGAAAATACTTCAAAGTAGCATTTCATAAGATTTTTGTTTGCTGTCCAATTTGGTGTTTTTCCCAAAAGATTCACAACTAATTATTCATAAACTTCATCTTAAGAATGTTTGTTAATTAGCAAGTGTTTCCAGAAAATGTTTCTAACCGAAGAACTATGTGAACCTTTTTTTTGTAAATTAATTACTAAGACACCTACTTGTTTTTCACTAAGTGCATCAGTGCTTTTCTCAGTCATTTTATATCATTGGGTGTGGAACCTAAAGCAGCGGTAAACCAGTGAGAGTACAGAAGAATAAGAATAAGAATATTAAAGCTCATAATAAAAAAGAATAAGAACGTGTATCTCTTGCTTTGCACACAGGAGCAATAACAACCAAAATAAATTTAATATGCTTGTGATTTTTACCATTTACACATAATGGTGCCATGTTGAATAACCATTCATAGTCATGCTGTGCTCCCTAATGCTTAAAACAAACAGTTTTCATAGGTGTCTAATCCTGGTTTTATAATAAACTGATATATGTAGATCATATTTGAACATGGCAAAGAAACGTCTTTAGCGGGGTAAGCCTGCTAAAATCTCTAACAAAAATCAAGTTGGCAGCCCTGCTGTTTCCAATGAGATTAGCATTAGTCTAGGTGTTTCTCTGTAGCTTGTGTTAGGTTTAATGTTTGAAGCAAATCTATCTGACAAATGTATTTTCATTTGCATTTTGTTTATTTGTTATATGGTATCATCTGATTGTTGTATACATAATACCTTTGGTTACAAACTTGGTTGTTTGGTCCTATTTATTAGCTTCTACCTAATAGCATTTTTCAGAGCCGCTGTTAAAGACGTTGTGGTCTTCATTATAAACAACCTTCTCTTTAATGTGAACAAATAAGCTTTTTTACAGTTTACTGTGGCAGGCAGATGTGGAACAGTGATGTAATCTAGGCATCCAGTTTTATTCATGTAGCTGCAATGTGGCACGGTTATGGTAGCTGGCCTGAGAGGTCTCATAGCTGTGGCATAGTGCTGTTCATGCAGCTGAACACTACCAGTCCAGGCAGCCCCACAGTTGCAGTGCAGCGTCGTACAAGCAGCTGGCCCAGGAAGCCACATAGCCGCAATGTAGTGTTGATCAGGCCCCCGGTCCAGGCAGCCTCAGAGCCGTGACACAACATCACTCAAGTAGCCAGTCCAGACTGCATCATAGTTATAATGTAGCATCACCCAAACTAAGAAGCCTCTGAGCCACGGTTGGAAAATCACTCTTGGCCACTATCTCTGTGGTTATGTTGGCAAGCTCTTCAGCCAGCAGGGAAACATTAAAACATTCACACAAACAATACAAAACAAACGAAAAACTGATGCAAAGTGGCAGCCATATTGCTCCAGCATCCTTATAATGGAGCACACATGCACACAAGCAGAAACACGCACTCTCTCTCTCTCTGCTCACTCACACCGTATGCATCCCTTCTTCTTGCCTGAGTCCTTCATTCTGTCCTGTCGGTAGATGGAGAAATTCTTTGGGGTGGTGGCACAGTCTGGCACACTAGGCTCCAGCCACGTCTTAATGAACACCAGATAGCAGCTCCTAACGTCCTGTTGATGTTTAATCTGTACATGCAGCTCATGTAGCTTGTTGTCCAATGAATGGACATTAGCAAGCAACATGCTGGACAGAAGAGGTTTGTTTTTTTTTCTCTGGCGGGTCCTGAACAGAGCCCCAGCACACATCCTTCTCTTTGTTTTTCTCTGACAATATGAACGTAAGCAAAAGACCCACAGAAAAAGTCAGAATTTGGCTTAAAGTCTAAACTGGCTCACAATCATAGCTCTAAAAGTGTTTGGCTATCATACTGAATGTATGATAGCACCGTATGTGTAAAAAGATCCAGTAATATAAAGTAAACCCACACAAGTTTGCTGATTTGACTCAGAGCTCCTGCAGTGCATTCATTTTTTTGTAGAGCACCCAGAAATAGTGACCATCCTGCTCCATGCCCACCCTTCCTGCCTTCTCTCACACCTGTTGCTAATTTCTCACTCTTTAAATATCCTCAGTTTGCTCTCCCTGTTTGTGAAGTCTCTGGCATCCCAGCTCTGCATTTACCTGTCTGATGGTGTTTGACTTGGACTGTTTATCATTCTGAATGTATACCTTATATAAGGCAAAGCACCCTGGAATTGTGTCCGATCTTGCCTCTGCTGAGTGTGATGTGATGTATTTTAACTCTCAAATGCATTAATTATCAAAAACATCCAAACTTTTAGATGATGTTTTTTTACTAATAAGAACAGCATACAAGTTCATGTTTCTTTTTCTTCACCTAAATATTACATTTATTCACATTTGATACTCTCATAGTGTGTGATGTGAATACTGTGTAATAGAAGTTTAGAAGGTAAAGAGTACAAACTAATGACAAAAGCTTGCAACGTGTTTCTAGGCAGTGTTTGTTTCAGTACTGTGTCCTCTATCTTGTCACTTTTGTCTCTTGCAATTGCTTTATGAATGACAGAATTGAGGAAAAACATATTACAGCTGCTCTGGTCAGCTAGAGTTAAGGGTACCTTAATTCCAAAATTATCTACTACACAGACAGTGTTACTGTAGCTTTAATGTGTGTCAGACTCAGCCTCAGATGGAGTGATACACACGAGTCTACACAATATCTTTAGGTGTTAATGTACACCATTATTTTGCATTTTTAAAAACATTTCTAAATCTGTGCTAAACCATTATATGTGTCATACCATTACTTTCAGAAACTCATTATCTTAGTATGATATGCCAGATGGTGGAACTTCATGGTGAAGATAGTCAATGTTTAAACTTCTCTTTCCCACTCTGGGAGCAACCAAGTATTTTAGAGGAGGGGGGGGGGCAGCCAAGTTATTTTGATGTTTATTACATATAGAATATTAATACATATTTTTAGTATAGCATTTGTTATGCCAGTAGGAACTAATCCTTTGGTCATGTTTTATTGCCATATAATTATATTATCAAAATTACTTATGGGGGTGGTGTTGTATGGCCTAGTTCTAATAAGAGGAGTGACAGTAATCTATGAAAGAGTGTAAATGAACACATTAATATCAGTAATAAAAGAGCATTCCATGTTCTCTGTTTTCTCATTTTAGAAGTCAGGCTGGTTGGTGGTTCTCGCTGCTCTGGAAGAGTGGAGGTGCTTCATGGAGAGACCTGGTCCACAGTGTGTGATGCTGACTTTGACCAGCAGGATGCAGAGGTTGTGTGTCGAGAGCTGGGCTGTGGGCTTCCTGTGGAGGTGCTGGGAGCAGCTGCTTTTGGCAGAGGGGAGGGTCAAGTGTGGTCAGAGGAGCTTCAGTGTAGAGGCAACGAATCTCAGATTCGCTTCTGTCCAACATCATCTTCACTCAAACACAACTGCACTCGTGACAATGCTGTGGGTGTGGTGTGTGCTGGTGAGCACTGAATCTACTTTAATAAATGTCTTAATTTTATTTTTCCTCTATGGTTAAACGTAACATTTAACTCTCTGTGGCTTTGTGTATATCTCTTATTTTCTTCACTCAAAAAGATTTTTTTAATATCAGGTTTTGATTTATGACAATGTTCTGAAGAGGATTTTAATGAAATATTAAATTTAATTAGAGGAAAAAAGTCCCCAGAGTAAGATGCTCCCCTCCTTATTTTCTCTTCTGAAGGGGCAAATCTGAATTTCATCTGAATCACCGCATTTCTGGCATGTATTACTTTGGTAACTTTTTAGGTTCAGATGATCCAAGTCTCACTGACTAAGTTTCTTCTTCTTCTTCTTCTTCTTCTTCTTCTTATTATTATTATTATTATTATTATTATTATTACTAATAGATAACAGAGATAACAAGTGAAACACTTGATAAAGATATGTATTATTCAGAAGTGGCCAAAACTGCTCCTGGAATTTTCCTGCTCTATATGTTTAGGTGTTTACTGTTCTAAATATTCAGGGCTGGATTGAAGCTTGCAAATACTGGCAGTATTCTTTTTAGGAGCGACACCATGGAAACCCACTCTGGAAACCCATCTCAAAGCCAACGTTAACCTGCAAAAGTAGTTTAAGCTAACAGATCCAAAATGAAACACAGATTAACCCACTCAGATTTGAGTCTTTATTCTCTAAACTAATGTTAATGATATGTCAGTTAGCCAGAATGAACTTGCTTGGTTGGGTGTGAAGTTGTTTAGACTTTCTCGCTAAGCTTGGACTAACTTCCAGTGCTAATGTTTAGTGGTGCGGCCACTGAACCACCCTCTCGTTAAACCACAGAGGTACTGTTGTGGGACTTGAGGACTGATGCAACAGGGGAAGCAGCAAAAAGTTCTCTTTCTCTCTTCTGTCTTGCCCTTAACTGCAGTCAGCTGACACTGGTTTGTCATCGGCAGTGTGGGTTCAAACCGCTTACTATGTGTGTAGTCTGCCCTTAATGCAAAATACTACTCATTTACAGATGACAACAAACATGAACAGCAAAGTTCTTTCTTTCTATCCCTCTGTTGTATAGCCGGTGTGCGGCTGGTAGATGGAGACAGTCGCTGTGCTGGGAGAGTGGAAGTTCTTCATAGAGGACAGTGGGGAACAGTGTGTGATGATGGCTGGGATATGAGAGATGCTGCAGTGGTGTGTAGAGAGCTGCGCTGTGGAGAGGCTGTAGATGCACTGAGTGATGCTCACTTTGGTCCAGGATCAGGGACAGTTTGGATGGTTAATGTGGACTGTAGAGGATCAGAGTCAACACTGAAGAACTGTAAATCACCGGGATGGGGTAAACATAACTGTGATCATTCTAAAGATGCTGGAGTCATCTGTTCAGGTAATCTGCTATATTTTCACACATTTTTAATGGTGTGGGAGTTGTGGCTAAATTATTGCTATTAATTAAGGTAATAATCATTTCTCATAAGTGGATAACTAATCCAACAGGGCAAAATAGTCTCTAAATCAGGTGTACTTCATAGTTAACTCTACAGAGACCATTAATAACAATGAGGTGTAGAATAATTTTTTTGTTATCTAAAGAAACCTTGAGTTCTGTCTTAGCTTTTAGAAATTCTATGATACAAAATATGCACACATGGGTAAAGTATTTACAAAGTTTAATAATATAAAAAGGCTTAAAAGTAGGACAAAGAAAAAGAGAGAGTATAGAGAAAGACAACAGTGTACACAGTGATATAAACAAGCTGGAGAAGGTAATATGAGAAACTGAAGAGACACAGGTAAAGTCAAATATGCTGTATTATTAAGTTGCCTAAGCGAAAACCAAGAATAGGTAAAATTAACACCTTATGTAAAATCACAAGCAACAATGATAAACCTATCTTTCTGGAATTTACACCAAATTAGATTCTTGATGGTTTATAGCTTATTGAGACTTAACGTCATTCTACTATTGGAAGAGAAGCAGACAGAAGTTTATATTATCACTCAAAAGTGTGTCCTTGGGTTCAATTACTTTGGCCCGGCTGGTACCTTGAATCAAAAAGCCTCCACTTTGTAATACTGGACATAAAATCCACATTATGTCCATATTATGCAACTGGTGTGTCCCACAACTTTGAAGATCATTCCAATGTTTCTGGCATGATTACTTTTACCTTCAAATCAGGACAAAACATGGCATGTTTTGTATAAAATTTACACACTTAAGAGGAAAGTATGAATTACACAACCCTATGAAATGATACTATTTCACAATCACATGATATGTCACATGATCCTTTGAAATTTTCAGTTTGGTGTTGCTAATGGAAAATTATCTTTTTTGTTAAAATGGGCTGCTCTTGCTTTTTTTCTTATTGAATTCTTTGTATCCATTGTACCGTAGAGAGAGATGCCACATACTCTGTCCTTAATGTGGTATTTTTTCAGTTTCACGGCATTTGGTCTGTCACTCTTAAAAAAGGTTTAGATAAGACAGACCCACTTTTACAGTGCCTTTAAAGGAAATCTGGTCTTGCCTACAGAAAGGTTTCCATGTCCTCCTTATCCCTGGGAAAACCATGTAGAGAAGTCGGGTCACCTGGTTGTAGGGGTTCCAAGGCTGGAATCCAGACATGATCAGAAAGATGTTTTGTTGTTCCTACAGTGGTCATACTTTTTGGAAAACACAGTATATAATTAAACAAATATAATATAAAAAAATATTATCACATTTTCAGTGCATTTTAATTAATATAAATCTTAATTACAACTTTGTCCATCTTGAAAATTTGAATACTCTGACTCTGTTCTCTCATAACATTTCAGAAGTCAGGCTGGTTGGTGGTTCTCGCTGCTCTGGAAGAGTGGAGGTGCTTCATGGAGAGACCTGGTCCACAGTGTGTGATGCTGACTTTGACCAGCAGGATGCAGAGGTTGTGTGTCGAGAGCTGGGCTGTGGGCTTCCTGTGGAGGTGCTGGGAGCAGCTGCTTTTGGCAGAGGGGAGGGTCAGGTGTGGTCAGAGGAGCTTCAGTGTAGAGGCAATGAATCTCAGATTTACTTCTGTCCAACGTCATCTTCACTCAAACACAGCTGCTCCCATGATAATGATGTGGGACTGGTGTGTGCTGGTAAGAAATATATCTTTCATACTTGCTCTTGTATTCCTCTGATTAGTGTTTGAAATTGTTAGAGTGTTAATTTTCTGTTTGCATCTCACTGATTCTGCATTAATATAGCAACTTTCTGTATTTCTCTGCCTTGTGCATTCATTTTTCTCTTGTGTACAGGCAGTGTGAGGTTGGTTGATGGGGGCAGTCGCTGTGCTGGGAGAGTGGAAGTTCTTCATAGAGGACAGTGGGGAACAGTGTGTGATGATGGCTGGGATATAAGAGCTGCTGCAGTGGTGTGTAGAGAGCTGGGCTGTGGAGAGGCTGTAGATGCACTGAGTGATGCTCACTTTGGACCAGGTTCAGGACAAATTTGGATGGTTGATGTGGACTGTAGTGGGTCAGAGTCTACACTGAAGAACTGCCACTCAACACTTTGGGGTAAACATTCCTGTAATCACTCTAATGATGCTGGAGTTTTCTGCTCAGGTAAGTTACTCTACTTCTTAATACATAAATCAGTCAGTCAGACAGTTATGATCAGCATTAATTTACCCCTTTTGTGCGTCTCTGATTTAAAAATTATTTTGAAATCCTATATGTGAACATTTGTAAATATACATACAAACATGTAAAAAAGTAAAGGAAACACCAAAGTAAGTCGACACCAGAAGACCTTTAATGCACCTTGGCATATATTGTACGTCTCTGAAACTGTACTGGAGGGATGGAACACCATTCTTTCAGAAGATATGTACCTTGTTTGGTGTTTTGATGATGGTGATTGGGAGCCTGTTTAACACTGTCTGAAATCTCCCATAAGCGTTCAGCATATAATAGCATATCATTTTCATCATTTTCACACTCATCAAGCCATTTAGTGACCCCTAATGCCTTGTGGATGGGAGCATTGTCATCCTGGTGGAGACCACTGCCATCAGGATTAAAATGATTCTTCATAGGATAAAGACAATTAGCTTAGTATTGACTTTCAGTGACCCATCTCTCTGTGGGGACAACTGGATTTAAAGCATCAAAGCAAAATGTCCCCCCCAACAGCATAATAGAGTGACCAAATCCCCTCACTTAGTGGCATGTGCAGATTCTGGCAGGGTTGGGATAGCTACTGAACAATTAGTAGTTAGCTACTTTGTAGCTACTTTCCCAAAATTTGAAGCTAGCTACAATTTAGCTACTTTTCCAGAAAAAGTAGTGGCTACTTTTTAGTTACTTTTTGAAAAGTAGTGCACTACTTTTTAGCTACTTTCAAAGCGCGACTGTCAGAATGTTTGTGTTTCTCCACCTGACACACCAAACAAGCCCAACTGGTAATGTGAACAAGACACTGCATTTAATCATGTGCCAGAAAGAAACAGAATTGAAAAACTGCAAATGTACAAAAAAGATCACCAAAAAGTAAGTTTAAGTGTAACCAACAATCAAACTTACACAACCAAAGGTGTGATATCCAACAAAGATTTAGACTAAGTAAAGACAAAGTCAATCATTCCAGGTTTTTCCTAACAAAAATCAACAAAAATAACTGAATACAAACCAAACAACTTTGTGCAAAGAATTGTCAACTCATGAAATAAAACTTCTCCAATTTAAACATTTCAGCAGGATATGGACAGACATGACATCCAGAGTCCTTTATTAAACTTCAGCAACACTTTAGCCTCAAAATCCTGATCAGTGACCCTGGTTCTGTTTGGGGTGAGAAACAGGCCTGCACAGCTGAATAATCTCTCCACTGCTGCAGAGCTGATGCAGCTCCACAGCAGAACTAGATTTTTAGGTAAAATAATATAATCCTCCTTTGCCGTAAACAAGCTGTTATAACACACAGTTCTGACAGTTTTCACAATAAATGGTCTTAAATGCTGGAGTTAATGCATAACTGTTAATTCACCAACTTTTAATGCTGAAGACTGACGCACAGACTGCTGGTCACACAGCAATGCAGATAACGAAATAGTAAAGAGAAAGATTTAAGATGAACATCTATAATCTGGAGATGAATAGACTTATTTGCATTTATAAACATTTGCATTCATACTTAGCTGGTTTCCTCATACATTTAATTTGCAACAACTCACGAAGCTGAAGTCGATTCTCATTCTCCTCCTTCTCGTTCGAGTTTTCCCGTTCCACCTTAAATAGCGCAGCAGTACAATCTGACACCTCAGGCACCATTTAAGGTGGAATGGGACAATTCGAACCTGAAGCAGAATGAAAAGCTGATTTCAGCCTCGTAAAAAGTCGAACATTGAGAGACATTTTACAAGAAACTCACAAAGTTTCCTGAGGTGCGAGAAAAGCAGCTATAGCTGAGCTAAAGGTTAAAGCAGAGCAAAGTAAGCTTGCATTTTTGTTTATATTATATTTTTAGCCTATTCTAGTACATTAGCACACACTGAGACATATTTACAGCCAAGATGGTAAAACGAATATAAAATGTTGTGGCTCCCAAGGTGGTCTCATTTTTGTTGAAAGGACAAAATGGCTCTTCTTAACATTGCAGTTGCAACCCCTGAGCCAAGCCTAGTAGTAAGGGGCCAGTACGTGCCTCAGTTTGCTCAGGATTGCACAATCGCCGCTAGTTCAGTTAACGGCCGTGTTCTATGGTTCAGATTTTGCGCGGATTGCCTGAAGCCTGTAGCAAAATTGTAGCGAAAATTATCGCAATAGCTACACAAACATTTGAAGGCGCCACAGCTGTTAGCTACATTTCATAAAAGAGCTACAGCTATTAGCTACAAAAATTTGTAGTTAACTACAAAAAGTAGCGCGCTACTTAGCTACACTCCCATCCCTGGACTTTGGTGAGGGCAGGGGCTGAGGTGTTTCAAAAGGGCATTTTGTGGGGGGCACTTCTGGAATAGTGCATATCCGGATATTTTTAGACTATGAAAATACCATTATTGACAAAGTTATTGTAATGTTGTTGTGTTCTGTATGCAGATCCAATTTTAATTATGCAAACTTATATTCAAGTATACATTATATATTCAAGTGCATTTTTCTTGTTGCAAGAACCAAGTAACAAACCTAATCTGAATAAATGTCCTATTAAGTAAACACAGTCCCAAAGTAATATTCAACATTTTATTAAACTTATCATCATATTTAGGTTTCAGTAAAATTATTATTATTATTACTATTATTATTATTATTATTATTATATCACAAAAATTATTAATTCTTCAGATATGTGACTTGATGATTATTAAACACAGTTGATGATTATTAGTCACATTTGAAAAAAATATTCAAATGGAGCCAAAAGCTATAAAAATTCAATTTCTCTGCCTGATCAGGACTGTGCACGATTCAGACTGCATGGTGATTGTAACCGTTGCAACATAATTGATGATAACAGGCCTTTTTTATTCTTTTTTTATGGTGTTATTTTCTGGCTCAATTACTACTTACGCAACCAAACTGTGCCTGCTCTCCTGAGACAATTATAAGTATTATAAAGGTTTTGCACAGTGGCATATTAATCATTTAGGGCACCAAAAAGGGCACCATTCATTTTGAGGTCTGACTATTGAAGAACAGGGTAAAAGGGGTTAACAAAATATGAAGAGAAACAGATGGACAGTTTGTAATTGTAGAACTACAAAGTGCACCTAATTAGTAACTGGACCCTATAAAATAGACAGTGAATGCAGAAACAAGGAGGTGTACTTAATGAAGTGGCTGGTTGGTGTATATATACACAACACCAAAAATAGTTGGGACTGTAGGTAAAATGCAAATCAAAACAGTGAAGAAAGCAACGATTCTTAAATTTACTTTGACCTGTTATTAAATGAAAACAGTATAGAAACAAATTATTTAATGTTTTGTCTTTTGAGTGTCTAAAACACTGTAAATTGGTCTAAAAATACATCTTCAACAGGTGGTGCAATCATGTTTAGGTATAAAAGGAGCATTCAAGAAAAGCAGAGTTCTTTATGACAGAGGATGGGTCAAGGCCCACCCCTTCGCCCAAAAATGTGTTAACAGTTTTAGAACACTGGGACTCATTCACCAACCGTTCTTCAAACCCACTTATGCAGTTTTCATGAAGATTCTGACATTCATCAAGGCTTTCTAATTTTGGATTTGTTCTTAGATAAGAACAAAATCTGCACACACTCAACAGCACAAAAGTGCAAACAATTCTGTGGTTTAAGAACACGTCAAAAATCTGATGTAGATTTTTTTATGTTCTAGTGAGCTAAAGCGCTAGGATATCTGAGATGGACTGATACAAAGTGTGTTGTTGTCTGACAAGTCCACCTTCCTTATTTTTTTTATTTATTTATTTTTTATTTTTTTTAAATAATGGATGTTGTGTTCTCTTGGCCAAAAAGGAAAAGCACCATCCCTACTGTTACCAACGCAAAGTTCAAAAACCTGTGTCTGTCATGGTGTGGGGGTGTATTAGTGCCAGTGGCAAGAATGACTTCTAATTCACATCCGTGAATTAGAATCACTTTATTTCACCAAGTAAGATACTGTCATGTGCAACTCCCAAACTGGCCACCAGAGGTCATCCTCTCCTGGATTCTAACTGTCACTCATCCACACCTGTTCTCAATCTCCATTCATCAACTCCCCTATAAATACTCACTCTATTGCCACTCTTTGTGAAGCATTGTTAGTGTGTTGCTGCAATCCTGAGTCTTTTCTCTGTAACTTTTTGTCTTTGAGGTTTATTGATCTTGGCTAACCTTTTTTGACTCTGATTTTTGGGCTTTGTCTTGGATTTTTCTGTCTTGGATCCGTTATATGTAATTTTGGCCTCTGACCTTCTGCTCTGCCCAACTCTGCTTTTGGACTGTGTTTTTGTACCACTGTCTGTCACAACAAAGCCTGCTTATGGATCCTACCAACCAACCTAGCCCTGCATTCTTACAGTTACACATACATGCATGCGCAGGTGAGACATGCAATCAATGACGAACAGCTGTTTTAATCAAAGTAATGCCAAAATCTTCAACCATGTGTAGTGATAGGAGTAATTTAACCTACTTTTGCACTCGTTAAAAAAGGGCTCAAAGTAAAAAGTTTACTTCAGTGTCAGTTCTGGGCCGCAAGTTCAGCTATAGTCAGGGAGTCAGCTTGCCCAGAAGGTATAAAATACCATCCATACAAAGGCTAGCTTGCAATAGATGGCTCATTTATTGATTCATTTAAAAACAGGGTAAATGATGCATTAAATTATATGTTAGATTGATGGATCAGATACATGTCTTTATCCACAAAAATACTGTAAAATTGAGTGGTGAATTAATGAAGCTGATAACCAAATGGGGAACAGATATGAGGGAGTCACCTGATCTGAATTTACTAAGAGGAACAAAAACCCTGCAGAGAACTAACCAGGCACCAAACTGAGCATATGTGAGAAGTGCTTTGCCTTACTTGCTCAGCGAGTGGTCAGTTGGAAACACCGTCCTTGGTGTGGGCTTGGAGTATCTGCTCATATGGCACTTTGGGAGGTCACTCCTACCCTTTACGCAGTGAAAGCAAATGTGAGACAGCACAACACAACCTGCTTATTTCCTGTGGTGGTCAAATGGGAAGGACACCCTCCTTTTAGCTGCCTCTGAAAGAAGCTGCAGTAGACATGGTTTCAGCAGATTCTGAGAGGACCATTTTAGACTCACTCTGCTCCACAGGCAAACTTCTCTGAAGTGTGAATACCAGTTTGTTTCCACTCCCTCTCTCTCTCACTGTCCAGACAGAAGGTTCTGCACCTGAATTACCTCTGGCCAAACAATAAAAATTCTTAACTCTATCAACTTGTGATAGAGTATAGAGCAAAATATGTTGAGTACTTTCAACAAAAACAGGCAACTTCAGCTTCACAGATCTGGAAAAGAAACGCTCAGTCTCTTTGTTCTTAACTTCTTGACTTTCTCTGAAGTTCTCTTGACTTTTTCCAAACTTCTTTTTGTACTCTTCCTTCTGAACCAAGTAAAACTCTGGATTCTAAGTTGAAATCTGCCTGAAGCAACTCTTTTGGGTGGAGACAGAACAGGGATACAGAGGTTCTCGTGCATCATGTTAATGAATATTTAATTTCTTGGTTCAACTGCGTCAAGTTTTGTCAGTGACACAGTCTCTCCTAAATTCACCATAAAGTACTCAAACTAAATTTTTTATTCTTTGATTTTTGAATCTGGTCTATATAAAACATAAGAACATAAAAAATAAAGGACATTATGGACATGCAATTTCCCATAATCATACTACTAAGGTTTGAATCATCTCATATCCTCTTGTTCAAATACGTTGTATTTCAAATACACATTCATCAGAAGTTATTACACAATATTATGTAAATTAGTCATTACTTGACCACCATATCATGACACTAAGAATACAAGTATTAATACTGATATGAAAAAAAGAAGAAAAGAAGAAAAGAATTAAATCTTCTTAATGAGCAGGAAAAAAATATAATTTGAAGTTATATGAGACTAACTAGCCCTTAGTTGAGCTCCTGACCCAATTTCTAATTGGGAACAAATAAACCCAATGACCAGCACAGCGTCAAACCATTCAGTAGTTGATATCCAACAAAATATGAGTTATCTGGAATGACAGTGGGTTAGTTCGTAAAATTTTTGGACATGCAACACTTCCCAATCCAGTCACTGGGTGGCACTGAGGATCCTTGACAGAAAGTGTCCCTCTTATGAATCCATGTCTCAGCTTCTGAATGCCATACAGATCCTTGTATTTAGTAGCAGTTAGTAGTTTCAGAAGGGAGATTTTCCTTACATTTTTAGAGAGCCTTGAGAAGCTTACTTAATAAAAGGGAAAAGCCTGTAAATTTACTTGCTTTAATTAATTTCAGCTTTATTGTCATTATGCAAATACAGGATTGTACAGTATAACAAAACACTGAATGGCTACTTCTCTGTGCCGTGATTAACAAAATAGACAAAGACAACAGTGCAAAGACAAAAGGTGCATAGACAGTGTGTACAGATATGTGTATGAGCAGTAACTGTAGGTAAGAAGGCAGAAGTAGAATTTACATCACAAACTATAGTTATAATACTATATAAATAAACTATGATAAATATGTAGACTTGTGCATTTTATAGCTTAGGTGTTTATAGTGTGTATTAACTGGAACATAAATGGTCATAAAGATCGGTGTGGTGTCAGTCTTTAATCCTTTGATGGTCTGGTATGCTAGACTCTCTGATGAAGTCCTCCTAAAACAATGTGACAAACAACACTGTGGAGAGTGTGTTTGTGTGTGTGGGGGGTGATGAACAAGAGGTCAGCACTTAAAGTGTAGAGGCTTTTACTGAGCACAGGGGAAGATCTCTGTTGTTTGAGCAGCAACAACTTGACTGTTGCTCATCTCTTTGGATTTTTAGACTCTTTTAAAACTAGGCTGTTATGCCTGCTCTGGGCTTAGATCATGCTTAATTTTAATTCATTAATTTTAAGTCTTTGACTATTACTGGAGCTGGTTTGATAACAGTCAGCTTAATCAGAACTGTCTTCACTGTCACTAGAAGAAGATTCTGGTAGACTGCTCCTCTGTTCCACACCTGAAATCTGAAAAGACAGGGTACAGTTTCTGTTCCTTTCTATTAGCCTAGTTCAGCAACTAATTTTTCTCTTTATAAAGCAATGCAGCTTCAGCCTGGAGGACTGATAAGAGGCAGATTTGTAATGGAGCATTACTTTGTTGATTACATCATGTTTCATAAAGAATTTCTTCAAACACAATTTATTTAACATTTGCTTTAAGTCATCTTCAAATTAGCACTCAGACTAGTCAAATGATCAACCTAAGAAGAAAAAGAAAATAACTTAAAAAGAGAAGAAAAAGAAAATTAAACAGGTGAAAGATTAAATTTCTCATGGTTGTGCTGTTTTCAATTGAATATACAAATCAAAAAGGATTTGCAAAATGCTGCTTTCAGTTTTCATTTACATTTTGCTTATTTTGGGTTTGTATAGATTATATCTCTTTATGGGATTTAATTTTATGTTGACAACTGCACCAAGAGATATTGCTTGTACACCTGTGACAAAGCAGATAAAGATTTTGATTCTGTTTCTAAAGCATCAGTCATTGAATGGCTGCTTTTTACTACAGTTTCCAGCCCTTGTGCTCTTGGGCAAGACCTCCTTTTGCCCCAGGTGGTATTGCTATAGAGCCGATATGGGACATAACATTGTTATGGTTTTTCCACTAGTTTATCTAGGTTTTCCTTCAGGTTGTCATCTGTCTGTATGTCCTAGTATTTGCTATTTTTGTTGAAGTTTATTACCCAAGATATTTAAGGTCAAGAATTTCTACTAAATACATTTTTTGTCAATAATTTTATATTAGTCACCTTTAATCATCACTGTAAAATGTTCTCTTTTCTCCCTTGGTAATATTTCAGGAGTCAGGCTGGTTGGAGGTTCTCGCTGCTCTGGGAGAGTGGAGGTTCTTCATGGAGAGTCCTGGTCCACAGTGTGTGACGCTGACTTTGACCAGCAGGATGCAGAGGTTGTGTGTCGAGAGCTGGGCTGTGGGCTTCCTGTGGAGGTGCTGGAGGCAGCTGCTTTTGGCAGAGGGGAGGGTCAGGTGTGGTCAGAGGAGCTTCAGTGTAGAGGCAACGAATCTCAGATTCACTTCTGTCCAACATCATCTTCACTCAAACACAGCTGCTCCCATGATAATGATGTGGGACTGGTGTGTGCTGGTAAGAACTGCATTCACAATTAATCTATATAAATAATACTTTATTTCTTTATTTTTTCTACAAGCAGTTTTTCTTTGCATTATTTAAAAGTGATACTGCAGCAATGAGGAGCTGTCTTTAATGTTTCATGTGTCTCTCTCTCTCTCTCTCTCCCTCTCTCCCTCCCTCCCTCCCTCCCTCTCTCTCTCTCTCCCCCTCCCCCCCCCCCCCCCTCCCTCTCTCTCTCTCTCTCTCTCTCTCTCTCTCTCTCTCTCTCTCTCTCTCTCTCTCTCTCTCTCTCTCTTTCTCTTTCTCTGTTGCACAGTCAGTGTGAGGTTGGTGGATGGTGGCAGTCGCTGTGCTGGGAGAGTGGAGGTTCTTCATAGAAGACAGTGGGGAACAGTGTGTAGTCATGGTTGGGATATAAGAGATGCTGCAGTGGTGTGTAGAGAGCTGCGCTGTGGAGAGGCTGTAGATGCACTGAGTGATGGTCACTTTGGACCAGGATCAGGACCAATCTGGATGGATAATGTTCACTGTAGTGGATCAGAGTCTACACTGAAGAACTGTTCATCATTAGAATCAAGTAAACATGACTGTGATCATTCCACAGATGCTGGAGTCATCTGCTCAGGTAAACTATATTCACATATTAGAAATAAGCCAACTACGGGAAGATTTTAAATGATCAAATTCACATTTTCTACCTATTAAACTTTGTTACTATAGTTATTAATCACTCTTACTTATTACACACTTGTTTTTTATATATATTTTATTACAGAAAAGCATTGCAGTATTGTTTGCAATGATGAGAGTAATGACCAATACAGAAACAGCAAATCACAAGGTGCAACTGTAGCCGCTACACACAGTACAGGCCAGTGAAAGAAGGTTACTTGGAAATGCTTCAATCAAAGTTTCAGTGAACTCACATTATTGAGCAGAATTGGAAAGCAGATCATCCCAGTTAAATAGTCCAAGTACAGGCAGCAGCAGAAGGAGACAGTCACATTGCTCACCTCCCAAGGGTCCACCAACCGGAAATGGTGCATAACACATGAATACATGAATACAAAAATAGTCTCCCTCTTTTGTCGGCTTGTCTTTGATGCCCCTTCTCTAAGGGAAACTCAATGTTACTGCTGCTAGGCACCACAGCAGATGGTTGGCTCATGGTCAACTCTCAGGGTGAAAAAGGGGCTAAGCAGTCCAGGTGAGCCATTACTGTGTACTGTCCCACCCAAACTCACACTCAACAAACTACTAAATAGTGCCTACTCACCAGCAGCAGGTGTCATATTGTGGAACACGTCATTCAAACATATGCAGTCCTGATCATCTGAAAGGTGGTGATTTTTTGTTACAATTTCGAAGACAAAAAGTTTTGAATAAAACTATCCATACAGACAACAAGTACGTACAATGTAAAAAACCTTTCGCAAGTGGCTTTAATGTAAATTTATCTTATATTTATTTTAATGATGTCTTACCATAAATACATTTAGTGTAAAGATCAGCAAGTAGGCTTTTCAACTTATCTGCTGATAGTTAGCTGTTGAGTCAAGTCCTCAGCATATAACACCACACAGACTATTTCCACTGTTCGCTCTTCTGAAATTCGCAAGCGAGGAAAACTACAAGCACACTCACGCGCATAAAGAGAACTACTAACGTGAGGAAAAGCACCCCTGCAGAAGGAGAAGCGCTCGCGCGCGAGGAAATCAACCTGACACTCAGCTGTTTTTTCTGCTTGCTATTGAGCTTCTGCTCGCGCAAGAGTTTAATTCATTTTTGACAGTTGTGGGCGGTCCCAGCATATTATTTGTTATTACTGATTTCTGGAACTATGTTATGATTGGCGGGCTGTCAGTTGCTGCTGCATATAAAACCCAGGAACAGGACTTTTACTTTAGAAGATGTCCTTCAGAGTCCACCAGTACAATGGCGTTAGCTGAAGCGCTGGCTATGATTACTTTATTCTGTCTTTGTGAATGTTCAGTAATCATGATTAATCACTCTCAGCCAGTCTGAAACCATTTTATGACATTTTTCTTACATTATTCTAACATTATATTACATTATAACTAATACAATGAATATTGTAATTTTTTTAAAGGGCATGTAAAAATGTGAAATTGTTTAACCTATGAAATAAAAGTTTGAAACTTTTATTGAAAATTTGCATAAGAAGCTACAAATAAGAAGCCAGTTTCAGCTCGGTCGACAGCTGTGTTTAAGTAACTACTATGTTTCTCCCGAGCTCAACAGAAAATCTAGTCTAATTTCTAACTGAACAGATAAACTATTTTACCCCATTTTTTCAGGAGTGACATGAATAGCCTAACCTCCATATGTAGCCATATTACTGCCACTTACTCAAAAGCACAAATTGTTGTGTGTGTGTGTGTGTGTGTGTGTGTGTGTGTGTGTGTGTAATAAAAAATATTATGTGATTTTTACCTTTAAAATGACCATGATATTTTGTATAAAACCTTTCTTGTTTGAGACTATATAGTAACCATGAAACAATGGGATAAACCACGTTGGGCCTGTCAAACTCACATTAACCTGAAAGGAGTTCAGAAAATAATACGATTTGGTTTCAGACTGGCTGAGAGTGATTAATTATGATTACTGAACATTAACAAAGACAAAGTAAACACAGGCAGTGCTTCGGCTAACGCCATTGTACTGGCGGACTCTGAAGGTCGTCTTCTAGAGTGAAAGTCCTGTTCCTGGTTTTTTATATGCAGCAACTGACAGCCAGCCAATCACAGAACAGTTCCAGAAATCATTAATAACCAATCCTACGTCGGGACCCGCCCGCAACTGTCAAAAACGAATTAAACTCTTGTGTGAGCAGAAGCTCAGCTTAAAAAGAGTGTCGGGCTAATTTTCCTTGTGCGCCTTTTATTTAAAAAAAAAAACATATTTTACATTTTTATTGCTTATTTTGATCTTTCTTTCAAAATATTAACCAAAATCTAACCCTCTTTTGAAGTACAATGATTGAAAAAAAGAACACCTAAATCTTTCAGGAAATAAATATTTTTTCTCAAATATGTTTGTGCCACAATTATTGGCGCCCCCTCACTTAATATTTTGTGCAGCTCTTACTCTTCTCCTATAATGCTTAATGAAACTGGAGAACACATGGCAAGTAATCTGAGACCATTCCTCCATAGAGAGCCTCTCTAGATCCTTCAGATTCTGAGGTCCACACTGTGGACTCTCCTTCTCAGCTCATTCCACAGGTTGTCTATGGGGTTTAGGTAAGGGGACTGGGGTGGCCATGGCAAAACCTTAATTCTGTGGTCAGTGAGCTATTGTTGTGTTGTTTTTGGACCAATGTGCTGCTGAAAGATCCAAACTATGGCCCAGTTGGCTGAAGCAGTCAGGTTTTGATTTTTTTTCTGCTGATACCTGTGATACCATGTATTTGAATAAATTGTCCAGGGCCTGCCCCACAACATCACAGATCCACCGCCATTCTTCACAGTGGCGATCGGGTACTTTTCTCCATAGCTGTCTTCATGTACACACCAAATTCACCTCTGGTGTTTGTTGCCAAAAACTTCTACTTTGGTCTCATCTGACCATAGAACACAGTCTCACTGAAAGTTCCAGTGATGTTTGACAAGCTGTAGGAGTTTGAGTTTGTTGGTCCTGAGCACAGGCTTTCTTTTGGTAAGCCCCCCCAAACAACTTGTGGTTATATAGGTGGTGTTTGCTTGTAGTTTGGGAGACATTCTGACCCAAAGACCTAACTAATTTCTGCAAATCCCCATCTGTGATCCTTGGAGATTCTTTGTCCACTCATTCTCCTCACTGTGTGGGGTTCAGTGTAGACATACGTCCTCTTCCTGGCAGATTCTTAACATCTCCAGTTTATTAAGCTTCTTGATTTTTGTTCTGATAGTGGAAATGGGCTTTTTCAACTGTTTAGCTATTTTCTTGTAACTAACTGTTTTGTGCAGCTCAACAACCCTTTATCATATACCATTGCTGTTTTCTCTGGTCTTTCGCATAATGATGGATGACTGAGGGGAATTTGGTCTGTGTTTCATCACATATATATTCCCCAGTGAATAAGGAGTCATAGCTGATGATTTAAGTGCAGGGTTGGTATAGCTACTGAACAATTAGTAGTACTTTGTAGCTACTTTCCCAAAATGTGTAGCTAGCTACAATTTAGCTACTTTTCCAGAAAAAGTAGTGCGCTACTTTTTAGCTACTTTCAAAGTGTAACTGTCAGAATGTTTGTGAATCTCCACCTGACACACCAAACAAGCCCAACTGACAATGCGAACAAGACACTGCATTTAATCCTGTGCCACAAAGAAACGTACAGTTGAAAAGCTGCAAATATACAAAAAGATCACCAAAAAGTGTAACCAACAATCAAACTTACACTACCAAAGGCGTGATATCCAACAAAAATGTAGATTAAGTAAAGGCAAAGTCAATCATTCCAGGTTTTTCCTATCAAAAATGAACAAAAATAACCGAATACAAACCAAACAATTTTGTGCAAAGCATTGTCAACTGATGAAATAAAACTTCTCCAATTTAAACTTTTCAGCATGATCTGTACAGACATGACTTTCAGTCCTTTATTAAACTTCAGCAACACTTTCTCATCAGTGACCCTGGCTCTGTTTGGGGTGAGAATCAGGCCTGAATAATCTCTCCACTGCTGCAGAGTTGTTGCAGTTCCACAGCAGAACTAGATTTTTAGGTAAAATAACATAATCCTCCTTTACTGTAAAATCGTTATAACACACAGTTCCAACAGTTTTCACAATAAATGGTCTGGAAATGGAAAGGCAAAGAGAAAGATTTAATACGGACATCCATAATTTGGAAACGAATGGACTTATTTGCATTTATAATCACTCAGCTGGTTTCCTGATACGTTTAATCTGAACACAACTCATGAAGCTGAAGTTGCTTCTCTTTTGCCAGCTTCTTGTTTGAATTGTCCCGTTCCACCTTAAATGGCGCAGCAGTACAATCTGGCGCCTCAGGGACAATTTTGAACGAGAAGCTGGAGAATGTGAAGCTGAATTCAGCCTTGTAAAAAGTCGAACACTGAAAGACATTTTACAAGAAACTCGCGGAGAAGTTTCCTGAGATGCGATAAAAGCAGCTATAGCTGAGCTAAAGCTTAAAGCAGAGCAGAGTAAATCTGCATTTGCGTTTGTTATATTTTTAGTCTGTACTATCAGCACATACTGAGACATACTTACAGCCAAGATGGTAAAACAGACATAAAATGTTGTGCCTCCCAGGTGGTTTCATTTTTGTTGAAAGGACAAAATGGCTCTTAACATTTCGGTTGCCGACCCCTGAGCTAAGCCTTCTAGTAAGGGGTGATCAGCAGTTTGCTTGAACTCTCCATGGCTCAATCAGATTTGCACAGTTGCCACTTGTCCAGTTAACGACCGCATTCTATGGTTCAGATTTTGCGCAGATTGACTGGTGCCTGTAGCGAAATTGTAGCGAAAATTATTGTTATAGCTACACAAAAATTTTAGGTGCTACAGCTATTAGCTACATTTCATAAAACTGTAGCGGCTACAGCTGTTAGCTACAAATATTTGTAGTTAGCTACAAAAAGTAGCATGCTAC